ACAATGGTGTTAGTAGGAGCAGTAGTGATTTTAAATTTATTGCTGAAATCCTAGTGGTTTTGGGGAGCCATATGTATTTATGGAAAAAGGTATTGCTAAAGTACTCTAATGACTTAAGGATTAACTTATCTTACAGTGTCAATTGAAAAATGACATTAACTATGTGTTCATTTTACAAAGTTGCAAAGCCCTAATAAAGTCCAAACAAGTAAATACTTCCTCTATTGGTTTATTTCTAGGTCATGATTCAAAATAGTAAAACTATACAACTCTACTCTAAGCGGCATCATGAGAAAGTAGCAACAATTACACCATGCATTCTCAGTAGGGATGAGTGGAGTGAGTGGAAGTTTGATATAGGGGATAAAAAATCATATTATTTTATGTATAAAGCCATTATATATATATATATAATTATGGTACACACACACCCCATATACAGACAGATTGTATATACTGTACATGAGCAAATATACAGAATGCTGTGGTATTACAATTCCATGAAGACAATTAGAAAAAAAAAAAATCTAAAAATATCTTTAAAAGGCTCCTTAGAAGGCAAAAATGGAAAAAGAAAAGTTGAGAAATGATGCATTATACAATACAAATTTTAGTTTCTCATGGTGATAATGAGAAACAAATCCATTACTTTTCCACTAAATGCTCCCAGAGTAATATCTGAGATTTGTTTGATCTCATATCTTTTATGAGATCTTGAACACAGACTCCCTTTTTGCTCCAAGTAATAACACAGATTTAAGTAGAATTCAAATCTAAAGTCACGGGTAGGTAGACAGATGTAACAGGCAAATGTTATCTCTGCTTACTTGCTGTTTATTGAGCATCTACTTCATGCAGGCATGACATTGAATTAAGTATTATACAGGTAAAATAAACATCAGAAATAATCCTATCATTGTAGGACTTAATAAGAGCAAGAGAGAAGACTTGTATGAAAATCTAAAATACACACATAACCTCCATAGTGGTATATTGTTAAAAGTTGAAGTTCTGTTTCCCCAGGACTTCACACACTGCCTGGAATGGAATCATCACTCCATAAATTTTTATAAAAGTTATAGAGAAATTCAGGTAGAATGCTACAGTCACTCTGAAACTGGAGAATACAAGCTTCATTCAGAGAACAACTGCACGGAAAAGGTTATCAATTCAAACCATGCCTCAAATAAAAGCACACTTTCCATGAGAAGTAGGGTCATTTAAGTGGAGAAAAAAGTATAAAACACAAGTGGAAAATACAGAGACAAATATTTTGGAAGCACATATAGGGGGAAAAAAAGTTTACTTTAGCCAGGAGAAAATAGAATGGCATTTTAGTAAAAACTAATCGATAAAAATTGATTAAAATCATTTGGTAAATATTTTCCTTCTGGGGTAAAGGCATCCTTATTGCTAGAATTTGAAAGTTTATAGGATGACCACCTGTTAGAGATAATTTTGAGAGATTCTCGAATTTAGGTAAGATATTGGATGGACCAGTTACCTCTAATGTAACTCCAATCATCCTGCAGTGGTGATGGTTGTATAAGAGCAGCAGAAATATCTGTGTTCAGCAACAGTTTCTCTTTTTTTAAGATTTTATTTATTTATTAGAGAGAGAGAGAGAGAACGCAAGAGAGCACAGATGGTGGAGAGGAAGAAGGAGGCTCTCCGCTGAGCAGGAAGTCTGATGCGGGACTTGATCCCAGGACCCTAGGACCATGACCTGAACCGAAGGCAGCCTCTTAACTGACTGAGCCACCCAGGTGCCCCATTTAGCAATAATTTCTAATTGGTTATGGCAAATGTTTGATGAACTCATAGAGAATTCTTCATCATTGCCTTGAAAGCTATTCCGTTCAATAAACTATTTCTAGAAGATGTTAATAACCTTTAGATTTTATGCTATTCTTACTTGTACCACTGAAGTTACTGCTTTTGTGCATTAAATTGTCCTAGAGGTACTGGTAATACTTCCTCTTAAAAGTATCTCTAGTATGGAGATTATGAAAGAATTTCAGAAATGCACTATAATGAAGCTGCTTTTTTCCCCATTGTTTACTTTTCTGACATCTGAGAATTCCAAACTTAGTTTCCTTAAAATGCCTTAAAATGTGGTTGCCTGCAGTTAGAATAGTTTTGTCTTCTGCAGCTGAATAGCTCATTCTATTCACATACCTTCTGTTTGTTCCCAAACAGTTGATCCTGTCTTAGAATTCCTGCCTTCACTCCAGAACCAATTCTCTGAAGATGATGCATATGTCTCTTTTCCTGACCCACTTCCCCAAGCAAAACAAAGCTACAACTATACCACTTCTCCTAGTGGGGAAAAACAAACAATCTATGTTTCCACATAGACATTTACCTACACATGAATTTATTTTCAATAAATACTGTTAATCCACTATGAAGATAACCATATGCAGAAGAGTAAGAGAAATGTTTGTTGGGAGAATCAAAAAGGATCCACCATATATCATTCATGAAATAAGGAAAAGTAAAAGATATACTTTCTCAAAATAATTCCCTAAAAGTCTCCTGAGAAAACTCAGTGGGTATAATGTATCATCTGTGATTGTGAAATTATGAGATTAGTTGAAATTAGAGCATTGGAAGATTCTATAGAAAAGTTTTAGAGGGGCACCTGGGTGGCTCAGTCGTTAAGCGGCTGCCTTCGGCTCAGGTCATGACCCCAGGGTCCTGGGATCGAGCCCCGCATCGGGCTCCCTGCTCAGCAGGAAGCCTGCATCTCCCTCTCCCTCTGCCTCTCCCCCTGCTCATGCTCTCTCTCTCTGTATCTGTGTCTCAAATGAATAAAATCTTTTAAAAAAAAAAAGAAAAGTTTTAGAAAGATATATACTGTTGATATGAGCAGGTCTCTAGGATCAACTGTATAAAACTATGATAAATCTGTGACTTTGTCACTTAGTTATAATCAGTTTTACCTCCAGTTTAACTCAGTGCTTTCTGTGTACTTCTTTGTGCCCTACTTTATAATGTTCTACCCTTATTGCATATACATATTTATTCTTTTTTCTTTGCACATAATATTATCACCTTCATAACATTCTGACTGTTAAATCTACAGTTCAAAAATCATCTCTGCATCCCCAGCTGATGGCAGGCTACCAAGATCTACAGCTAGCATCTCAAACTCAAATACCCTAAACCAAATTCAGTGTTTTCTCTTCTTCCAACAATCAAAATCCTCTACTTGATTTTCTTTCTTTAAGGAAACCATATTTTGATGAAAAGCTCAAACATAGTTTTCAGATTCTAAAAAAAGAGAGATCCTTTTCTTCTTGTAGTTTAGCCATTATTGTTTATACAGTTCTTACTATTACTAATTATTAGTAGCAATTTTTTTAAAGATTTTATTTATTCATTTGAGACAAAGAGACACAGAGAGAGAGAGAGAGAGAGAGAGAACATGAGCAGGGAGAGAGGCAGAGGGAGAGGGAGAAGCAGGCTCCCCGCTGAGCCAGGAGCCCAATGTGGGCTCGATCCCAGGACCCTGGGATCATGACCTGAACCGAAGGCAGATGCTTAACCATCTGAGCCACCCAGGCGCCCCTATTAGTAGCAATTTTATTGAGATATTTTGAGCCAAGTTAAAAGACCATTCCTATGACAACTCTTCAGTTATAATTAAATTATTTGTTTTTAAATTTTATCCATTCTCTATTGTGAAAGGAAGTTGTTACTTCTCCATATTTCTGCAGGTTTATTATTGCAGCCAGCTCAGTAGTTGTTGCTGGTAGAATATGATTATACACCATAAATCAGAATTTCTTCACTGAATTTGACAATCACCACTCTTTAAGCATACTATATACCCATTATCATTTCCTTTATGTCTCATTTCAGCCCAGTGAACAAGCATCTTAACAAGATCCAAAGTACCAAACCTTCTAGATAGTTTTCCTACCTCACATTTCCAAACATTGCTGTTTGTGTTTTTCTTTTGTTATTTGGTCCTTTGTATTTTCTTCCCTGCTGTGCTTTAAGTTCCATGATGGGAAAAGTGGTAGTTCCCAATCAGCCAAATTGTACCTAGCACAAAAGTTTGTGCACAGAATTCGGTAATCTGGTTGAATTGCTTAACATTACACATTAAATACATATTCGTTAATTGACTTGCCTCAGTACCTAATTGTAGTTAAGGGAGGAAAAAATATATAGCATAGGAAATATTTTGCAAGCTGTTTTCTGAACCTACAGGGCAAATTGCCTGAGGCACTAACCAAAGAACTGGGCCATGATCCTTCTATACTTGGGAAAATGTATGATTATTTATAGACATAAACCTAAGGAGCATATATTATGTGTAGCATAATTTTTTAAAAATTATATAGACTCTTACTGTACCTGCATATAAGAAATTTCTGTGGTAAAAGTTTATTCTTTGAAGTACATTTTTCTTTAGTATCTTACATAAGAAAATAGAGCCAACACTAAAAAGGATTTCTCCCCATGCTCCAAAACATACCAAAAGCAAAAACAAGAAATTCTATGTCAAAATGTTTTTCTTAGGCTTCAGAGTAAACCAAGAAAGCATTTTATTTGTGATTATCATGAAGTCTGAAATTCACACATTTAGTTTTTGACAGACTGTACCATAATTTATTCAAGTAGCAAGTCCGTGTTGGTATAAAATTGTAAAGATGAAAAATAAAATTGTATTTTATGAAAATAATCAATTTAAATGAAGTATTTTTGGCAGCTCTCCTGTTTTTAGAATTTGTTCTGCAAGCTCCTCATAATCATCACTTATCTGCATTTCAAAGAAGGCTGAACACTGGTGTTTTGTTCTTTATTAATATGAGGACTAGATCCCAAAAGCCTAGAAGGATTGTTTAAAAAAACAGCAATATCTGAGCAAAGTGTGAAACTTTTAAAAAACTTTACTACTAGGAAATTCAGATTTTTGTCATCTGTTTACACAATTGTCTCACTAGTATGTTTTAAAGAATTATCTTTTTTTAAATAATTTCCCTTCAAGCTTTGCGCAGTGGCAGTATCGTAGCCAATGAGGTTTATCCGAGGCGCGATTATTGCTAATTGAAAACTTAAATAATTTCCCTTCAAAAATTGTATTTTTAAAATACCTGATGTAATCTGGTAATGAATAATTTTAATTGTATTATAGAAGTAAATATATTTGTTCCCCTGTTTTTGCCTTAGTAAAACTCATTTACGAAAATGTAGAAATTATGCCAAGATAAAAAAAATTAAAATATCATCTGTGGGCCTGCAATAATAGTCTAAGAAAATGCTAGAAATGCTTATAATAATATACACTTAACAAACTTTGTACTAGTAATAACAACAGAAACTCTTACACATTGCTGATAGAAATATCAATAGGTAATATTACTTTGGAAAATTTGCAATATCTAATAAAGCTAGACATACTCATGCCCACCCTATGATCCAGAAATTCCTCTCCTAGAGAAAGTCTTAGACCCAATCCATACTGCCCCTAAAATGCATGTATTCACATGTATTCACATGTACTCACAAAAAGACATGTTCAAGGATATTCATTGCCGCGTAGCCAAAACCTAAAAGAATACCCAAATATCCTCCATAGGACACTGGATAAATTGTAATATCTTCATGTAATGGAATACTATACAGCAATGAGAATAAGCAAACCATTGCTACATGCACTTACATGGACAAATCACATAAACATAATGCTCATAAAAATAGAGCAGACTCAAATAAGTATTTATATAAAGTTCAAAAGCAGAAAAACATATTCATTGTTGTATAAGTCAGGATAGTGATTATCTTTGGGCAAAGTGGTGCCTGGAAAAGGTATGGCAGTGGGAGGGGGAGTGCATTTGTGATACTGACAATTCTACTTTTTTTATTTTTATTTTTTCTCATGGAGTACTTATCTTTATGTGCCTGGCTTATTTCACTAAGGATAATGTCCTCAAAATCTATCCATGTTGTTGCATATTGCAGAATTTCCTTCTTTTTAAATGCTGAATAGTATTCCCTTGTAGTTATATACCACATTTTTATCCATTCACCTGTCAATGGACATTTGATGTTTCCACACCTTAGTTATTGTGACTAAACATAGAACCTTAGCCATTCTGCAATAAACATAGAACTACTAATATCTCTTCGAGATCCTGACTTTAATTCATTTAGATAAATAACCAGAATTGGGACTACCAAATCATATGATAGTTCTTTTTTAGTTTTTTGAGGGCAATTCTACTTCTTGATCCATGGTCTCTTTGCATGAGTGTGTTAACTTTGTGAAACTTTACATGGGAGCCTATTATTTGTGGACTTTTCTGTGTGTATTTTATATCTCAATAAGGTTTTTAAAAATCTTTAAAACCTATCAGAAGAAGCTTGTACTAATAAATTATTTAATTAAAAATTACTATGGTTTCCAGTTGTAGTTCTTGCCTCCAAGTTGCCTTAAAAGAATATTTCTAACTTAAAAAGATATATTTGTAAATTAATACTAAATACTTTTTTGTCTTTATTTTTTATTTTATGTTTCCTTTTCCCTTTATACATAAGAAATAGATTTAATGAATAAAGAATAGTTTTCATAAGGACATTTATTTTACAAAATATTTCCAGTAGAGGGAGCATCACTTTTTTTTTAACTATAAGAAATTTTATTTTAAGAGCCATCGCTGAAAATAAATATATTTAAATTTTTAAACATAAAGTTCTTCATAGAGTGATGAGTTACTCTCACCTAAGACCAGTCTAAGAGAAAAATTTTATTTAATTTATCAAAGAAGAAGAAAAACCTGATGACAAAGAATATATATACCATACAAACTTCTATATTGGGTATGTGTTTTTCAAGAGATTACATCTTTGGATTATTCACAAAAACATTTTTATTATAATTATTTAATATTAATGAAGACATATTTTTATAATTATGATCATCAATTTGAAATAAAATTTTTGTGAATTTCAATAAAACTAGACAAAAATCAAAGGATGTACTGATGAAGATTATATATCTAAGAATATATTATAACAAATATCATGGTGAATTACCATTATACAAATTTGACCTTATTGACCAAAATGGTTTAGTTACTGACATTAAACTTCCTAAATCTAAGTGTCTGTGAACTAAGTTACTTTGATTTCTTTGAAAAAAATATGCATATCATCATCTAAGATACTAAGAAATAATTATAGTAAAATGATCCATTTCACTTATAACATGAATTTTGTGCTCCCTTCCATGAAATTTTTGTAAATATAAAAGCTTTACACTCTTTGTTTTAATCCCTATAGATAAAATTTGTAACAATTGTAGTTACAAAAGTTTATAGTCATATTAAAATATTTTTCACTGAAAATATCCTAGTTTATAGTGGTTCAACCCTGTACTTCAGAAAATAAATAATTTCAAAATTATAATAACCTTCACAATTAGTTCCTGTTACTACAGGCATGTCAAAATGACATAACTTTCTGTAAGGCAGTTTTTATGACATACACTATGTTTTCTAAGGTGCCCAAAGATGAAAAATTGACATAACAACCCAGAAGACAATATTTACATACTTAAAATAAAAATATACAGAACTTACTTACTCTAATTATTTCATTTCAATCCTCTTGAAAAGCTTGTGGACCATAAAAATGGAAATCTTAGGGTAATTATAAATAGTAAAGTAAAATTTACATGGTGGTTCAAAAGTCTATATGAGCATAATCTTGCTTATATATTGTTTGATTAAGAATAAGGGTTAAATTATCGGATCTTTTGACTAGCCTCTTTTATTTAAAAAAATAAATAAAAAGGAAAGCCCACCAAATATGACTGGACATTATAAGAAAATTACATATCATTGAACAATTTTATTCTTCAGTAGGTTTCTTATATCACTTTCTCCAAAAAGATTATTCTTGACATAGAACATATCTAATGATTTATGATTTTGTCTTCATGTGTTACCCGAACTAAGCTCTTTAGACATGGTACTTGTAAGGCCTTAAGTGTTATTTATTTAACTTATTCTCTTGATATACCAACAATGTTCAGAATTTCTCTGATTAGTATATGCTTATGTTCTAGATTTTTTGCCACTTAAAAATATTATTTCTAATTACTAAATGTTTCGTAACTTTCAAAAAGAGAGTAACACTCAGAATTTATATTTCACTTAGAAAAAAGAAACTCTAAAAGCAATTTGACAAAGAAAACCTAGGTTTGGGAAATAATTTTTCTAGGGTAATCTCAGCTGCAAATAATATGAGGCCAGTTACTAAAAAGCTCTAATTAGTGAAAATAGAACAAAATTACATATTTTTAGAGGTCTTGACAGACCTCTAAAATTGCTGGACAGTTTTAGATAGAAAACAATGCGATTTAAGGGATACTTTCAACAAGTCAATTTCGAATTGCATTCTTGACTTCATCAATAACAAGTGGTTGCAACCTAGTGCACAAGCTTTGTTCTTCAATTGGTAAATACAAGGGGACTCACCTGAGTAACAGTGCAGCTTCCCAGAAGTAAAATCCCGAAACTAATGTCCGAAAGTGTCTCACGTGGGCCATGATACGGAGAGATTTTCACGATCCTGAAATTAGTCTTACCCAAGGCATGGGGGACGAAAACCAGGAACGAAAATGTGCAATCTAACTCCGTGTGGTTTTGCAGGAGACGAACGCCTGAAAAGCTTCAGCACCTTAGACAGCTCCCCGCAGTAAGTAAAGACCTTTTTCAAACACTTAAAATTCCCTTTCGACCCCCGCTCTGAGCATTGAGCAGAAGGAAGATTCTCAGGGTACAAATGTGCAGGTGACTTACACGGTGAACGCGGAATAAGGGGTGAGATGAAATGTCTGAAGTGCCTAGGTTCTGGGCAACAGTTCATTGAAGCTCTAGCGGCAAAGAAAGAATGCCTGACTCTCAGACACTGAAGAAAAAATAGCAGCAACAGCGGGAACAAGGATGCTTCTGCACCTGCTCCAAGCGCCGCCCGCCGAATCCCACTCTCCACCTTTGAGTAAAACCCGTCACAGCTAGCGCGGCAAAGGGAAGCGGGGGCGGAGCCAGACGACACTGTTCTGTCTGCCAATCACGACCGCACAGCGGGACAGAGTGGCAGGCCACTCACGACCGTAGGCGGTGCTTAACACTTTACCCTTTAAAAAAAGCGGTGAATAACTGATGCAGAGCCTTAACTATGACTGGAGGGAGTTGGGGGAAGAAAGCCTCAGGACTCAGCATTGGAAGAGCCAGCAGCTTTTGTGAATTAGGTAGCAGAATAGCGCTGGAGAGACCCTTTATTGTTCCCTTCCGGGAAAAGGCACAATTTAGGAACGAAAGGTCTTTTCAGATGTGACCCCATGTCTTTGACCTTATGTCGAAATGCAGGAGACAACAGTAAACCCAGACCCTTAGAAAGAGCTAGGGTAGAGCAGAAAAATTGGTACATGAGCATCAATGAAACAGGAGAATCAGCTGCTTCTAGAATTCTCATAACCATGGTTAGCTTCCTTCTGGCCAGGAAGCATTGTTGACTAGAGTAAGTTGAGTTTCTTTCCGTTGTAATAAGGGTTCTAAAAGGCTGAAGGTGGGAAATCTAAAGAGATGGGTACTAGAGACACAGTGCTAATTTTAATTGTATTATAATTTTTTTTTCTTACACATTTTCCATATCTTAACAGTAAGTTCAAGTGAAGAGGACAACTAGGTCATAGGGTACATCTTCTATCATTCATATCTCTCTCCCTTCTCTCGCCCTCCCTCTCTCTCAGCCCACCCACCCCCAACCATTTACATGGGAATTTGGATTGAAGACTAGAAAGGAAAAGTATGTGTATGTTGTGTGCATGCTTATTCATGTATCTCAAAATAAAATTTAAAAAGATTAAAACCTATGCTATTAGATCTTTATAGTGACTTTTATTTACTATCAACAAAGATTAAAATTTTCACTACTTGAATTTTAGCATCTCCCTAAAACTTCCTTAGATATTTATTCTGAAAGCCCTACTTTAATCACTTAACTTTCTCAATGACTAAACTATATGCCATGAATGTCTTCTTAATCTTTCACACATTTTCTTGTTAATTAACTTCCAGCAGCAATTGACATATTGACTATCTTGTAATTCTTTATTTAACTGGAAAAGTATAAGTTATTACCTTCTCACCCTCTTAAATGAGGACACAATGAAAAAATATCTCTTTTTATTCTTTAGTAGACAAGGTTATTTACATTTAGTGAGAATAAAGAATTTTTGGATTTATTGTTATGTGTTATTACTATATCTGTCTCTTTTTGCATCTTAGTTTTCTGATTTAAATTACAAACTTCCAGAAGTCTCATAAGAAATATCACTGGTTCAACCCATGAAAATGGCACCCAGAGAAGGTTCATACAATTTTAATCAACTCAATTTTTCAATGAACCTTTTGAAAGCTTAGTAAGAACAAATGCTTTTTAGCTGGTCATTCTTTGAATGGCAATAATTCTTTTAAAAACCACACATAATAAATGAAACAAAACTTACTATATTTCACGAAGGCCTGGATTCCTTGCCTTGCTTCACCACTACCTAACTGGCTATCTTTGGAAAAGTAATCTACTTTTAAAAGTATCTTTATTTAATATATTTTTAAAAATATATTTATTAAGGGAATTGAGTTAAATTACCTCTGAGATTCATTCTCTGGCCCGAAGGAAACAACCAGTGGATGCTTGTTTAAGTGAGCAAATTAATGCACAATATTTAAAATTCTGAGTTTACATTAATCTGGAGAGTTAGGTTACATGACAGTTTTTAAAAGGTAGGATAAATTTAGCTATTTCATCTCATTATTAACATGAAAGCATATAAATATTATACTTTATCAAATTAATAGATCTAGTCAATCATTTTTTGGGTATAAATGTCATGTAAAAGAACTGTAATATGGAATCCCCAGATTACTAGTTTTTCATAGCACCATTATTATTTCCTTCAAATTATTTATGAAAAGTTATGATCTTTCTCATTTATTTGTTTGACTTTTCCACTGCAGTGAGGATAATGGCCATTTATTTAGCATAGAACCTAACATATAGTATATACTCAATAATCAGTGAATGCATTAATAATCATATTAGAAATGCAATATACATATTTTTTAATTAGATTTGTGAATTTGTTACAATGCATTGGGTACTAGGTTAATTTTGATTAAATAAACTAGAAATTAATGAAAGGGTGGGTTGTAATGCCTTGTTTCTTAAGCTAACATTTAATGATTAATTTTCCAGGGCTTCTTGTCTATGAATTTTTATGTTGTTTGCTTTTAATTTCTGTAAGATCAAAATGAATTTCATGCATCTACATACTTGTGACAGCTATTCTTATACATTATATCCTTTTGAGAATAATAGTCCTGATTGGATGGGTAGGTGAATGAAAGTGTTTTTGGAAAAAAGACCATTCTACGGCTGATGACTAGCCCATTTACATAAAATTAAGCTGGATTCTGATTTGGTCAAATCTCTTCTCTTCTCCTCATTGCTTTTATTATTTCTTGAACTAATGAATTATATTTTATATTATATAAGACATGGGATTTCAGAGCTGAATGGGATATTAATCTTCATCAAATTTAATACTTTCCTTTCAAAAAGAAAGTAATTGTAGCCTGAAGTGGTTAAGTGATGGTTACAAACCCTCATATTCAGCAAGTTGAAAATATCAAACTTGAATTTGGTGTCACTGGCTCAGTGTCTAGCATTTTGTCTACCCCCACTCCTCTGTCTTTATTATGTCTACTAGTGTCTCAAACCTTATGCATATTGACTAACCTACAGATAAGTAAATCAATTTCAGTCTAGTGATAAAGCTTTTTTCATACGCTCACTTGTTAGTACCTATGACCTAAAACATATAATGCTTTATACATATATTGATAAAATGATTTGCAATTTAATTTTTTTTAATTTTTTTAATTTATTTATTTGACAGAGACAGAGACAGCGAGAGCAGGAACACAAGCAGGGGGAGTGGGAGAAGGAGAAGCAGGCCTCCCGCCGAGCAGGGAGCCCGATGTGGGACTCGATCCCAGGACCCTGGGATCATGACCTGAGCCGAAGGCAGTCACTTAACCAACTGAGCCACCCAGGCGCCCATGATTTGCAATTTAATAAAAGTCTAATTTACTTTATTGAAGTCAATGTAGTATGTGGTTAAAAATAGTTTACTGAGAGTTGATCAGATTTAGTAGTATTGGGTCTCACCAAAAGTTTATGTATAAGTCAAAATGCCAATTTAAAAAGTTACAAAAAGTTACATCATTTTTGGAATAATTAGAATATTTATATTTTTGAATTAACACTCTGGGAAAGTTGAAAGTATTGATTTATTTTTTCTTTTTTTTTACCTTTATTTAGATATAATTGACAAATAAAATCATACTATATTTAAAGTGTAAAACATAATGATTTGCTATATGTGTATACACTATGAAAGGATTTTCACAATTGAGTTAATCAGCACATCCATCATGGCATGTTTACCTTTCTAATTTTTTCCTTTTTTTCAATTAATTAACATATAATATATTATTTGTTTCAGGGGTACAAGACTGATTCATCAGTCTTATATAATGCCCAGCGCTCATTACAACACATACCCTCCCCAATGTCCATCACCCAGTTACCCCATCTCTCCACCCCCCACCCCTCAGTTTGTTTCCTATGATTAATAGTCTCTTATGGTTTGTCTCCCTCTCTGGTTTCGTCTTGTTTCATTTTTTCCTCTCGTCCTCTATGGTCTTCTGCCTTGCTTCTTAAATTCCACATATCAGTGAGATCATATGATAATTATCTTTCTCTGATTGAAGAAAGTCTTAATTTAGGAGTCAATCAGAAAGTTGCTTGTTCAATACAAATCAGATAGAGGAGAATTAATCTTATTCAAGATGTAGTTAATGTCACCAAGGATGTGAACCTAGTGAATTTATCTTTTGTATAGGGATCTGCCTACTACTAAACAAACTACAATAATCATGATATGTTAGTTGATCAGGTGCCTCTTTTTGGAATAGTGGTAGAAATATCTAATAATTTATCTCCATTTTCTCGTCCAAGATACAAAATTTCTCACATGAATCTCAGCAACAGCCTCCTAATTATTTCTCCTGTTTGCTCTGTTATTCCCCTTGTTTATCCTCGCTTGTGAATATTAGGGGGTTTTTGTTTGTTTCTTTTGTTTGTTTATTTTAGTAAATCAGAAAATGCCACTTCTATTCCTAAAACCCTTTAATGCCTTTCCATTGCAATAGATTAAAATCTATAGTTCTCTTCACAGATGACAAGGCCACTGAATGATTTTCTATCGGCAAACTCCTCAACTTCATTTTTTCTTAGTCTCCCTTTTTCCCACTATGCACCAGTAACATAAGCTGTTTCTTATCTCATGATTTTTCTACCTCATTCTTCCTCTTGGACTTCTTATGCCTAGTCTTTTTCTAGCCTTTAATTCATAATATAGATCTTTCTTTCTTTCTTTTTCTTTCAAAAATGTCCCTTTTACCCTTACATCAAGATTCATGTCCTTCATAGATTAAATTATAATTTGATGTTTGCCTTTGTTTG